CCATTGCACTCCAGCCTGGGTGCAAGAGTGAAACTCTTGCAAAAAAAAAAAAAAAAGGAAATTACAATTCCTTTTATGACTTAGCTTCAGGAATCATACACCATCATTTCCATATTATCCTATTGTTTATATAGATCTGTCCTATTAAATGTGAGGGTTGGGGAGTTGTAAGGTGGAGAGAAAACTACACAAAGCCATGAATACCAGGAGGCAGGAATCATGGAGGTGATTTTGGAGGCTGACTCCCATACCTTCCCATAAGCATTTAAACATATTCAATTTTCTCCTATTTTAAAACAAACAAAACAACAGCAAAAAGTTACTACTCAAACAACTAAATAATCAAATCAATAAAATCTCTAGCAACAACTCTTACTAATCCTGCCTTATTTTTCTTCTTTACCTTTTTCCGTTTTACATTTGAGTCTCTTGGAAATGTTGTTCATGTGCTCTGTTGCTGTTTCATTACCTGCATTTATTTTTCAGTCTGTTTGGAGATAGCATCCTTTCACTTCCCTGAAGTACTTCTGTCAATGTCCTCACTTTCTTGTAGCTGAGTCCAGTGGGAATTTTTTAGTTCCTTTTACTATTACTTGACATCAGTGGCATTTGATGCTGCTGACCCAGTGACACTCATTTATCCTGAAAAATCCCTCTTCTAGTAGTTGCTCTGGTATGTTACTCTTCCATTTTTCATCCAGTTTCTCTGTCTTGCTCCTTGTCAGTCCCCTTTGCAGAATCCTTTCTTGCTGTCCATTCTTTACTATTCTTTAGGTAATCCTCAAAGTTTGGCCATACTTTTTTTCTCACTTGGGTACTATTCAGCACTATCATGGCTTTAAGAATAACCTCTATGGTGCTGAGTCCCAAATCTACATCTCCAGGTCACAATTATCTCTCTCTCTCTCTCTCTCTTTTTTTTTTTTTGCTGGGGGAGGGTGGTGGATGGGACAGGCTCTCACTCTGTCTTCCAGGCTGGAGTGCAGTGACAAGATCTTAGCTCACTGCAACCTCTGCCTTCCAGGTTCAAGCAATTCTTCTGACTCCGCCTCCTGAGTAGCTGGAATTACAGGTGCCTGTCACCACACCTGGCTAATTTTTATATTTTTGGTGGAGACAGGGTTTCACCATGTTGGTCAGGCTGCCCTCAAACTCCTGACCTCAAGCAGTCTGCTTGCTTCAGCCTCCCAAAGTGCTGGGATTACAGGTGTGAGCCACTATGCCTGGCCTCACAAATATCTTTTAACTTAAACCCAACAACTTTTTGTTATCTCTATTTGTTTTTCAGCCAGATATCTTACATTAGTAATATCCAAAATCCCATTTAATATCTTCCTTCCAAACTTTCGTCCCCTATTATGTTTCCCATCTCTGTGAAAGGCACCTTTATCCATGTCAACCTAAAATAATCAAAAGGCTCAGGATCCAGTTAAAAGGGTTTATTCAAGTGCAAAGTATAAGGGCAGCTGTTTGGAAAGCATTAAGGCTTAACTTTTCCCCTTGGCATAATAAATTTGAAAGGTCCTTACATTTCATTTTCTTTTCACATCCACCAGGTAGTAAATTCAAGAAACTCAGCATCATTCACACCTATTCTTTCTCTCTCACCTCCATCATCTTATCAACCAGCAAGTTGTGATGACTGTAATTTTTAAAATATTTTTTGAATCAGGCAATTTATCTCCATTTCCTTTGCCATTTCCATTTGTTCAAGCCCTATTTATTTCCTCCCTGGAGGACTGTAAGACTTCTAAACTGTTTTCTTAGTATCTACTCTTGTCCTCTGGTAATCTATTCTCCATATTCTCTTTCAAAATGCAAATCTGAATGTGTCATTCTCCTACTTAAAATGCTTCCATTCCATTTCTCTGTCTGGCAATGCCATATTTAACAATTGTTATAGTTTTAAAATATGTTTTAATATTTAAAGCTTCATTAATTTTCCCTTTTGAAAATTTTGGCTATTCCTAAATCTGTCAAAATGAATGGTTCTGTGGAAATAAAGTTGTGCACCAAAGATTCATTCCACCCTTTTGTTTGTAGGGAACAATACCAGAAAAAGGGATATAATTTTTTTTAACCTGAGATTTGACTCAAACTCCCAGGGAAGTCCCGAATGCTAGTGAATTAGGTTGGTTCTGAAGGACTTTTTTTTTTTTTTTTTGAGATTGTTGCCCAGGCTGGAGTGCAGTGGCACGATCTAAGCTCACTGGAACCTCCGTCTCCCAGGCTCAAGTGATTCCTCTGCCTCAGCCTTCTGAGTAGCTGGGACTATAGGTGCATGCCCCCATACCCAGCTAATTTTTGTATTTTTAGTAGAGACAGTGTTTCAACACACTGGCCAGGATGGTCATGATCTCTTGACCTTGTGATATACCTGCCTCAGCCTCCCAAAGTGCTGGGATTACAGGCTTGAGCCACCAGGTCCAGCCAACTTTTTTTTTTCTAGAAGAGGCGGATCAAAATGCACTCCTTTCCCTCAGGCTTTCTCTGTTTCCCACATGGCATTTAAGGAGGAAGAAGGCAAAGAGGTATAGGTGGCAAGAGAGTGCCTTTTCCCTAAAAAGTGAAATACTTGAGTTCTATCTTATGTCTCCAGCATCATGGAAGTTAGACATTCCCAAAAGATACCTAGTACTGTAGCCTAAAGATTACCTTGTAATTTTTCTAATTTAGAAGAAGATTTTTCCTTCTTAGGGGCATAGTGAAAGGGGACAGGGAGGGATGAGGAATTTTCCTTCGGATTTTTCCTCTAGAATTGATAGTGGTTTGTTTTACTACTTTTCTTCAAGACACTGGCATTGAATTTGTGCTAACACCAAATTCAAAAATATATTTCTTTGTTAGATGCTGATTATTGAAGAAGAAAATTTTATTAACAGTCAGTTTACTGAAAACTTGGGAGTGAATTTCTTGTGTCTGTTTCTGGCTTTTTAAAATTAAAGCTAGAGGCTTAGCACAAAGATCAACTCGATAGAAGTGATTTCAAGACCATCGTGCTTTGTATAACTCCAGGGGACGCTAGTCAAACAGACTATAAAGTATGTGTGTGTGCCTTTCAAACAAAATTCTGAGTGCATAGTGCCCATGGAGTTTTCAAATGTAGTAGTGGCCCAGGTGAGTCTTTGGGGGACTAAACTAATATGGTCCAACTATGTAGACTTTTGGTGGTCCAACTTGATTCTTATCTTTATTTCATAGTAATGTGAAACTTTCTTCTTCTTAGACTTTATAAATAGTTTAGATCATGTGGAAAAAAAAGGCACATCATTTTCTTTTGGGGAAATTTGTTTCAAATTTTCTTGGCTAAGTCTATAAAGAAAGAGGAAAACAAACAATTTGAGGTTGTAGTTTTTGACGAGAGCATAGAATCCTTTCTGTGAATGATGGCGGACAGGTCCACATGGGATAAAAACAGATAAGAAGGTAACAAAGTCAGCATTCTATTCTGAAATGTCAGGAGCCTAATCAGTGTGTTGTACCGGCCCGAGCATAGAATGTCAACATCAAGCCAAAAGTATGACAAATTGCAGGGTCTTTATTGCTGGTGGCCATGGAAGACTCACGTCTCTCCAACCGGTGGCCCCGAAAGGAGGGTGTCAAGACCTTTTATACCCATAAAACCCCCTCGGGAGTGATGGTGCAGGGCGGGGGTGGGGTGAGGGGCTTCAGACATTCTGAGGGCTAGTGGATTCTGTAAATCACATACTGGGCGGAGATGAGGGTGAGGGGCTACGGACATTCCGAGGGCCAGGGGACTTTTGACATTCCAATCGTTACTTAAGTGGTTCACAAAAGTCAAGATAAACATTTGTTTACACATTGTCTGGGTAGGGTGGAAATTACAGTCCTTAATTACTTATTCACATTTGGGTTATAGATAACAGTTTCAACAGAAAGCCGAGGTATGGTTGAGGTATGCAGTTTTATGGGGCTTTTACCATGTCACAGTGAATGGAAGTCTGGACCATTTTTATAATCATTCATTAATTTATTCAACAAATAGTTATTCATCAAAACTGTATGCACTATGATGAACATGACAAATATGTTCCTTATCCTGATGGAGACTTAATAGGGTCTAGGGACAAGTAAATGGGCAACTAAAAAAGTGTAATAAATGCTGTGTTAGATAAAATAGAGAAAGATACTAGACCTAGACTTAGATGGCTAGTACCACAGAAGACGTCCTAGAGGAATGGCATTCAGGCTGAGCTGTGAAGGATGAATAGAAATTAGTGAGACGAAGGGGATATGGATGAATTCTCTAAGCACAGCAATATGGGATAGATTGGACTCAACTCTGTTGTAGCAAAAGTTGAGTTTTATAAGCATTAGAGTGAGCTATTGGAAAGTATTGGAGGATATTAGGGGTCAGTGCGGTTAGGCCAACTGTGTTCTGGTGCTTACTGAAGTTAGACTTCTACCTTCCCGCAGACACTGGGAGAGAGAAGCTATCTTTCTTGATGATTACATTTCAGAAAGATGGCTCTTAAGTTCTTGAGAAAGACTTTCTCAGATTGTATTTACATCTCAAAGGGGCAGAAAAAAAAAGAATTCAATTGAAAGTTTTCTGAAAGTGAATGCTATAAGAAAAAAGAGATTGGGGGCTTGTATTGAGGAGAAACTTGTTTAAAGTTGAGTTAAATAGAAGAGAATGCTAAGGCTGTTTGATCATGTTAAAAATAAAGTTAGAAATTAACTGTTGATAATTTTGAGACTAAGTTTTAAATTTTTAAGGAGCAAGGGTTACTGAAGTTTTGTAACTATTTGAATTGCAAAGGTATTGCATAGTATTTGAAACATCTCTAGACAGTCTGCTTAAATGTACATTATTCTTTTTACATTTGTAGTAATATGAAATTGTCTTCTATATTAGGAATTGCTTTTAGATTTAATGGAAATTTTTTTTTCTTCAAATTCATCTTCCATATCACTGCCAAGATAGTTTTTCTAAATAAGATATTTGATGTCACAATCTTTTGTGATCCTTTCTGCAGGGTTCTTTGAACTGGCTGCACCATAGGCCATATCCTAAGTAGAGCCATGGAGACCCTTATGACCCATACCTATACCTCTGGATGGCCTGCAATTAGAAAATCTGAAGTAACGGGAAGACCATGAAAAGGAAAAGAATGATCAACCCTTGTGGCACCTAATTAACTTGGGACATTCTTCTATTGTTCCTTATTCCCACCTCAATTGGTAAGGCAATTGGACTTTGTAACTGACCTTGGTCAACCTTGTGACTCCGACCCTACGACCCCCTCCTACCTTGCAAAAACTACCCTAAACTGTAATTTCTGTTAACTTTCCATTGCCTACCCCAAACCTATAAAACTGACTCTATCCCACCGTCCTGCGCTGACTCTCTTTTGGGACTCAGCACACTGCACCCAGGTGAATAAAAAGCCATGTCTGGGAGATCACACAAAGCCTGTTTGGGAGGTCTCTTCATTCAGAGTGCATGTTTAACATTTTCTCTTCAACTTCAGAATAAAATCCAAAATCTCCAGCATGACATTCAAGGTGTTTCTTAACATAGGAAAGTCTACATTTGATTTTTCTTAACAAAGATTCTACTCACTTCTCTAGCCTTTACTTTCATCCTTTATAGTTTCTACAGCCCTTTATTTTTCAAAGTTTCATGCAGTTTCCTCAGCCTAAGTTGCTGCTGTCTCTGTTTTTGAAGATAACTCTTTCACCTGGAATGACAAAAATGTGCCTTGGCATTTATCAAGCTATATTAGTTTTCTTTCTCCCTGATTAGCCTATCAGCTCCTTGAAGGCAGGAACTATAATTTTTGTCTCTTTTTTCCCTAGTCAAGTAGAGTGGCTGACAAATAATTAATACAAGCCTTTGTTGTATAAATGAATGGACAAAGGTGGGCAACTAATTTCTTTGAGAACATTATGGTTAGCTATTTAGTGACTTATTGAGTTGTTGTTAATAAAATAAAGGAATTTTCTTGTTAATTCTTTTTTTTGTTTTTTGAGGTGGAGTCTTGCTGTGTCCCCCAGGCTGGAGTGAAGTGACATGATCTTGGCTCACTGCGACTTCCGGCCCCCAGGTTCAAGCGATTCTCCTGCCTCAGCCTCCCAAGTAGCTGGCATTACAGGCATGTGCCACCATGCCTAGCTAATTTTTGTATTTTTAGTAGAAACAGGGTTTCACCATGTTGGCCCAGCTGGTCTTGAACTCCTGATCTCAAGTGATCCACCTGCCTCGGCTTCCCAAAGTGCTGGAATTACAGGCATGAGCCACCATGCCTGGCCTTCCTGTTAACTCTTTATTGGTAATTTTCTTCTTTGTTCTTGCTACTCATCTAAAAGGATAAGATGTAATAGCACTTAAACATTCCATAGTTCATTAAACTAAAACATTAATCATTATTTTTCTGTAGATACCATCTGATTTGTAATGGGTTAAGGAAGTAAATATGTTAGCAAATTAGAATCTCTATTTTCAGTAAAAGAGTGAAAAATTATGTATCTTCCTTGAATATTTTCTAATAGATAAGCTGCTCTGTGGGTAGAAAAACTTTAGAAAGATTGGAGAGTGTCCAATTCAAATAAAGCAATGTTCAGTCTGTTTAATTAAAAAAACAGATGGATTATCTGGTCTGCTGATGGCTAGAAGCTTTATGAAGATGACATCTCTCTTTATTCAGAAGGAAATAGAAGAGGAGACTACCTATTGAAGAAGTTTTATATTTTTATCAACCTCCTCAGTGTCTGTTCTCAGCATACTGCTGACTTTTAAAAAGATCAGATAGGAATCAGAGAGGATTAAGGGTGAGTCCCTTAAAACATGGTAAGAATCTGTTGCATTTTTTAGATGACAGAAGGTCTTAAGTATGCCATTTAGAAACTCACTTCCAAATATATCTTATGCTTATTTGTATATTTTGTATATTTCTTCTTTTATTTCAGGACAGCTTGTCCATTTAGATAGTATTCATGGCATTAGAGAGCTACTTCTGGAATTTTTGCTATATAAGAAAGAATTTTCTATTGTTCCCTAAGGCTTTTAAAAATTTTTTTTGGTAGGTTTCATTAAGTTCATATTATTCATTCATGAACTAAACAAATAGAGATTGATATACATTTAGTTCTTGCTCACATTGAACTTACAGTCAAGAAGGGAGATAGAGTTTAATCAGATAATCTTACAAATGAATTTGAACTTATGATCAGTACCATAAAGAACATATGCGTGGTATCCTGAGGGTAGTCATTTGAAGGATGAGTAGAAATTATCAGATAAATGTGAAAGTGGTGGTGAAAGTGGTGGGAGGTACTGGGAGAGAGTATTTGAGTTGAGGGAGCATTATGTGCAAAAGACAAATGATGGAGGGACATGTAAGATTCAAATTATGAAAGAAAGCCATTGTAACTGGAGGACAGACATAGCTCTGAGTCGTGTGGGGACATGATGGAGTTATGGTTAGACCTGACCTTGCAGAATTTTGAGGACCCTGGTAAAGATATTGGTCTTTATCGAGAGAAATGGAAAGTCACTGAAGTATTCTGAATAGCAGGGTTGACATAGTAATATTTGTATTTTGATGAGATCATTCTGGCTGCAAGTGAAGAATGGAAGGAAAAGTTACCCTAGGGACTAGTTAGGAAGCTCTTATGAGATTACAGGTAAGAAATAGTGGGAATTTGGACTTAGATGGACAAGTTTGCCCCATATAGTTGTGTAGCTAATGCACTGCAAAAAAGCTCCCAGCTGTACTTACTCACAAGACTACATCTATTCAAAAGGAGTGTCAGTTGATGATGGGTGAGAAATGTGAATTAAAAGATAAGGAAAGTGAAGGATGGCTCCTGAGTTATGGACTAAGCCATCAGTTGGATGGCGATGTTATTCAATATACATGGTTAAATTTGTGACATGAAAAATATCTTTCTGTGGGTTGATGTGTTTTTTTTGCAATGTACCCCCAAGTACTCTCTCTAGCACCATTGTCTACTACTTGTCTGGATGTACAGCACTGCCTAGCCATAGTAATGATGCAGAGTTCCTGAGAACTGAAAGGCAATTTCATGCTTCCATGCCTTTGCTAATGCTATTTTCCCTGACTAGATTAGAATAGCTTTCCCCTCTTACTAGACTGAAAAACTCCTGATTGAAAATTTAAGGTCTATCCAAAGAAGACCTAATCGATGCAGCATCTCACCACCTCCAACTGCCCAAGGAAGAATGAATTGTACCTTCTTATGTTGTCTCTGAACATCTTATACATGCCTTTCATATCACTTAACCAATTACCAGTTGATGTCATCCATGAATTCATAGACACCTTGAGAGCAACAACTTTTTCCTTCTCTCTTTCCCTCTCTCTTTTTAAAGAGATTAGTTTTCTTTTCTTCTTCTTTTTTTTTAATCACACAGTTTAAAGAGTCATATAATAAACCAAAACTTGTTTCAAAAACCAACAGACTCCCCTGTCTTCTTGCTTCCCATTTTCAGAGGCAACCATTTTTAACAATTTAACCATTTGCTTTTGATCATGTATTACCAAATATTTGAACATCAAACTGGTACTGTTACTTTTTTTTTCAGTTTTAGGTATTACCTATTGACTCCCTTCTATGGGGGATAATAGCTTTCTTTTATTTTTCTTTTTTTTAAATGAAGGGTCTAATGTTTTTCCTTACACTCTACCTCAAGCACACATATTCAGTAGTGTATGTATACACTTTCATAGAATTCTGGTCCCTCATCCTCTCCAGAGGGTTATATTACGGTTTTGGTTAGATAAAAATTAAATGTTTACATTGCTATGACTTTGTATATGCTCTTGAAATCTGAACCATGCAGTAGGCATGTATGCACAGCTTTTTGTTTTCCTTGAGGTTAATAATATTCTTTTTTTAATTTTTCTTATATTTTTATTTCATTTTAGGTTTTGGGGTACATGTGCAGAGCATGCAATACAGTTGCATAGGTACACACATGGCAGTGTGTTCTGTTTGCTTTCACCCTTTCACCCACATTTGGCGTTTCTCCCCAGGCTATCCCTCCCCACCTCCCCCTCCCACTGGCCCTTCCCTTTTCCCCCCAATAGACCCCAGTGTTTAGTACTCCCCTCCCTGTGTCCATGTGTTCTCATTTTTCATCACCCGCCTATGAGTGAGAATATGCGGTGTTTCATTTTCTGTTCTTGTGTCAGTTTGCTGAGAATGCTGTTCTCCAGATTCATCCTTGTCCCTACAAACGACACGAACTCATCATTTCTGATTGCTGCATAATATTCCATGGTGTATATGTGCCACATTTTCCCAATCCAGTCTATCATCAATGGGCATTTGGGTTGATTCCAGGTCTTTGCTATTGTAAACGGTGCTGCAATAAACATTCGTGTGCATGTGTCCTTATAGTAGAATGATTTATAGTCCTTTGGGTATATACCCAGTAATGGGATTGCTGGGTCAAATGGAATTTCTATTTCTAAGGCCTTGAGGAATCGCCACACTGTCTTCCACAATGGTTGGACTAATTTACACTCCCACCAACAGTGTAAAAGTGTTCCTTTTTCTCCACATCTTCTCCAGCATCTGTTGTCTCCAGATTTTTTAATGATCGCCATTCTAACTGGCATGAGATGGTATCTCAATGTGGTTTTGATTTGCATCTCTCTGATGACCAGTGACGATGAGCATTTTTTCATATGATTGTTGGCCTCATATATGTCTTCTTTCGTCAAGTGTCTGTCCATATCCTTTGCCCCCTTTTGAATGGGCTTGTTTGTTTTTTTCCTGTAAATCTGTTTGAGTTCTTTGTAAATTCTGAATATCAGCCCTTTGTCAGATGGGTAAACTGCAAAAATTTTTTCCCATTCTGTTGGTTGCCGATTCACTCTAGTGACTGTTTCTTTTGCTGTGCAGAAGCTGTGGAGTTTGATTAGGTCCCATTTGTCTATTTTGGCTTTTGTTGCCAATGCTTTTGGTGTTTTGTTCATGAAGTCCTTGCCTACTCCTATGTCCTGGATAGTTTTGCCTAATTTCCTTCTAGGGTTTTTATGGTGCCAGGTCTTATGTTTAAGTCTTTAATCCATCTGGAGTTAATTTTAGTGTAAGGTGTCAGGAAGGGGTCCAGTTTCTGCTTTCTGCACATGGCTAGCCAGTTTTCCCAACACCATTTGTTAAATAGGGAATCCTTTCCCCATTGCTTGTTTTTGTCAGGTTTATCAAAGATTGTATAGTTGTAGATATGTTGCGTTGCCTCCAGTGCCTCTGTTTTGTTCCATTGGTCTATATCTCTGTTTTGGTACCTGTACCATGCTGTTTTGATTACTGTAGCCTTGTGGTATAGTTTGAAATCCGGTAGTGTGATGCCCCCTGCTGTGTTCTTTTTGCTTAGAATTGATTTGGCTATGCGGGCTCTCTTTTGGTTCCATATGAAGTTCATGATGGTTTTTTCCAGTTCTGTGAAGAAAGTCAATGGTAGCTTGATGGGGATAGCGTTGATTCTGTAAATTACTTTGGGCAGTATAGCCATTTTCATGATATTGATCCTTCCTAACCATGAACATGGAATGTTTCTCCATCTGTTTGTGTCCTCTCTGATTTCGTTGAGCAGTGGCTTGTAGTTCTCCTTGAAGAGGTCTCTTACGTTCCTTGTGAGTTGTATTTCAAGGTATTTTATTCTTTTTGTAGCAATTGTGAATGGCAGTTCGTTCTTGATTTGGCTTTCTTTAAGTCTGTTATTGGTGTATAGGAATGCTTGTGATTTTTGCACATTGATTTTATATCCTGAGACTTTGCTGAAGTTGCTTATCAGTTTCAGGAGTTTTTGGGCTGAGGCGATGTGGTCTTCTAGGTATACTATCATGTCGTCTGCAAATAGAGACAATTTGGCTTCCACCTTTCCTATTTGAATACCCTTTATTTCTTTTTCTTGCCTGATTGCTCTGGCTAGAATTTCCAGTACTATATTGAATAGGAGTGGTGAGAGAGGGCATCCTTGTCTAGTGCCAG